CTCCGGGCACAGACCTGGACTGGACACATCGGTGAGAGTCATCACCATTCAGCTGGTTCTGAGGACAAGGGGAAGGCTGAGATCATCCAGAGATGGCCGAGACCAATGTGGGCCCAGGACCTAGCCCCGAGGAATGCAAACATTTAAGGGATGGATAGCAAACAGGAACCTGCAACAGAGATTGTGATGAAGCACCTGATGAGGAAGAGGGAGCTTAGGAGAGTGTGGTTCCCAGATAAATCAAAGTATGAGCAGCGTGTTTAGAGTAGGAGGGCGTGGGTTCCTAGGACCAACTGCTGCGAGAAATCGATGAAGCTAAGAATGGACAGGGCTTCCCCGGATTTAGCAACGAGAGCATTGGTGAGGTCGGCGACAGCAGAGCTTGTGTTGTGGTGTGGTGGGAGACAGGATGAGGGAAATAGAGAGGGAAGGGAGACGACTAGTTGGGGCCAGGCAGGTACCAGCAGTCTGGGGGCGCAGGGTGTGACTTGCAGAGTAGCCTTGCGGGCCTGTTCTGCAGCTTTGCATGCTTAGGGGTAGGGCTTGGTCCCTTGGGCTCAGTGCAGCTAAACCATGGGGAACCTTCTTGAGTGGATGCAAGCCACCGAAGACGGGGTTACTCTACAGAGCCTTTCTTTATTTGGTTCACCATAGGCTGTGCCCCCTTTCCAATAACTGGAGCATTTATGTCTGCTGTCCAGAATAATCCTCCTTAGATTCAAGCAGGAAAGTGTGTGACATGTGGGATTTCTATATGCCAAGATATGCTAAAAACAACAAAAGTGACCGCTAGCTCTCGAGCGGGTTCCAACTCCTGGGGACCCCTTGTACTGCAGAGTGAACTGTACTCCACAAGGTTTTCTCGGCTGTCACCTTTCTGAAGCAGCTCACCAGGACTTTCTTCTGAGGCTCTGCTCTGTAGATTCAAGCTGAGTACCTCTGGGTTTGCAGCGCTTAATCATTGATGCTAACTGCGGATTCCTTTAGGAGATGCTGCTGATTCCAGTGGCCACGCATAGGGTTTCTGTGGCTGTAAATCTTCCTGGAACAGACAGTCTCATCTTTTCTCCCAAGCAGCAATCGGTGAGTTTGAACCATCCGTCTTGCCCTTGGCAGTTTAACACTCACTGATACAGTACTATGGAGCCTCCTTTAAATACGTGATCCCCATTTAATCCTCACCCCTTTCCTGTGAGACAAGGTCCTCATGTTACAGACCAGAAACCCAATGTTCAAAGAAGCTGAATAAATTCTTCAAGGTTTCAAGGCTGGTGTGAGATTGCGTTAGACCCTGGCTCCAGTCCCTGTGGGATTTCGGGCACACTCTCAGTGGATGGCTATCAAACTACACACTGAGAAGGTCTCACAAGACCCAGTTTCCAGCAGAGCACAGGAGCCAGGCCTCTCCAAGGAGAGGGCCTCTCGTGGGAATCTAACAGGCAGGTGTGGGGGCTGGGGGAGGTGTGTGGGCAGGAGGCGCAGCATGGATGGTTCCAAGGTGGGGAGCACGCTGAGCGGGAGGGCCTGGGTGGCCCTGGCTCAGTCAGCTCAGCCCAACCTTAGCAGTTGAGGGTCACACAGTCGGAGATGGACTTGCCAAGTCACAGCTGAGGCCCAGCTGGTGCCGCTGGACCCGCTGTGTGGGTGAGCAGGTAGGCTAACCAAAAGACCCTCTGGGATGTTCCTGATCCTCTAGGATGCTCCAACCCCTTGGCTCCAGTCTCTCTGGGCTTGCCTCTGCTCGATGCTTGTCATGCAGAGTCCCCCTTGTCCTGGAAAGGATGTGGATCGTGCTTCCAATGTGGCTGATTTCATTGAAAAGGGCCACTTCCCCGCCCAGGACCAGTTAACTGGGCGATCGCAGGGTGTTTTTCTTAAAAGGTTGTGCTTTCGAAAAGTCTTCCTGGTTGGCCAGTTGCTGGTCATTGGGTCACGACTCAATGTGAAGACGACTGACCGCCTCTCCCCTGGACCAGTAGGGAACATCATGGTAAATCGAGAGAAGATGGACGTGGTCACGAATGTTGTCCTGCTTGGACCCCCCATCTATGCCCACGGAAGCAGCCGTCAAAAGATCAAAAGATGTTACTGTGAGGAAGAAGGCATGCCTGCCCCAAGCCATGTGATGTTCAGTTGCCTCGTGTCCACGTGAAAGCTGGGCCTTGAAAAGGGAGGACGGAAGAAGAATCGATGCCTTTGAGTGGTGGTGAGCTGCCGAAGACCATGGAAAGTACCACGGACCACCCGAAGGACAAGCCCACCTGTCTTGGAAGAAGTACAGTCCAAGTGCTCCTTAGAGACAAGAATGGCAAGGCTTCGTCTCACATACCCTGGACATGTTGTCAGGAGAATCCAGTCCCTGGAGAAGGACATCATCCCTGCTCAGGTAGAGGGGCAGCGAATCAGAGGAAGGCCCTCAAGAGACCGATTGCCGCTGCGGCTGCAAAAGTGGCCTCGGCATAGAAACACCTGTGAGGCTAGCTCAGGATGGGGCAGTCAGGTGTAAGGTCACTATGAGTCAGAGCCAACTGGATGGTACCTCACAGCAACAGCAGCAATCAGGTGGGGACTGAGACACCGGTGGCTCACAATCAACAGACCCATCAGAATCACCTGGAGAGGCTGCTAAACTACAGGTACGTGGGTCTCAGTCTAACCTAAGGAACCATCTGTATTTTTGAACCCAAGTTCCTTACACCGCTGGCTTGGCCTTGTCCCGGGGCTCCGTCCTCTGGCACAGGGTCAGTGGGAGGACATGGTGTCAGGGGGTAGGATACAGCTGCACAGGAGTCAAGCCACCAAGCCCATGTTTTTCGTGGGCATCCTGTTCCAACCTGGGAATTCCAACCGGCCCTGGAGTGGGACTCATTAGACTCCAAGTATGTTCCCTTCCCTTCAGCAGGACGGCCAATGGGATTCCCAATGAAAGGCAGGCTTGAGAAGTGGCTGATGCCCCGAGCTAGCTTAACAGCTCTGCAGGTCACCAAAGCTAAAACGCACACTGCTCTCTTGTAAATGAATATCTCCAAAATGGGGCTGTGGTTAAGAGTTGGTCACGCCTTAACATTTTTATAATTCAATTAAGAGTGTTTTTCTTTCTTAATGGTACAGCCCGGTAGCGCAGCCACATTAAAGTGCTTGACTGTGAACTGAACGGTTAGTGATCAAACCCACCAGTGCTCTGCGGGAGAAAGGTGTGGCAGTCTGCTTCCGTAAAGAAATGGAAGCCCTGTGGGGCAGGCCCACTCTGTCCAACAGGGTCACCATGAGTCAGAATTGACTAGAGGACAAAGGGCGGTGCTGTGTGACATGCTGGAGCCACTTAACATCCCCGGCAGGCTCGAACGTCTGTAGCATAGCAGTTGACAAAGGAACAAGATACCCGTGTAAACAGGTGGCTACTGGGAGCCTTGCTCTGTTCCCTCTACGGGGTAGCTTTGTCCTTCTGCTTCACTAGTGCCCAGGAGTCCCCCCACCCTCCCCCAGGAAGCCATCTGTGTCACCCAAATCCCAAAGTGGATTCAAGCCCTGCCCCTGGCCTCCTGTGCCTGCCTCTGCTCCACGCTGACCACACCATGCTACTTGGTCCTGTAACGTCAGGGTGCCCTCTAACCAGGTTGCAGGTTCCTGGGCAGCAAAGACCATCTTGTGCCTCTGCAATTCAGTCTAGTATGGCATGGAGGGGCGATACATTTTGGTTGGATGAATGAGTGAGAACAGACTGAATACATGTTCTGGATCCGACGTGATAGCACCGGGTTCATGAAGGGAGTGGGCTAACAGCTCTCCTGGCAGGGTGACCCACAGACTCTCCCCAGCCCATGAGGGATGGGAGGAGGGCAGCGCAGGACCCCCATCTCTCCAACTGGGCAGACACTGCGAGGATGGTCGCCTAATGATGTACTGTGGATGCTGCAAACAGAGACGCTCCGATTCAGAGGAAAAGGCCTTTTGGCCACCGGTGAGCTCTCACAGGAAACCCTTCGTGTACCTAGACCTTGCGGTTTTCACCTCAGAGCTTCCTGCCAGAGCTTTACACGTCTGACAAGCCAGCCGGGGAGAAGGCGGGCCGGTGGGACCACAGCCATGGTACTAACATTTCAAAGCGGGTGCCTTCTCACTGCCTATTTAGAACGTTAACTAAAAATGGCTTGCCCCGCCCTGCACACCACTTCTCCCAAGCACAGCTGACAGGGCTGCTAGCTGGGCATAGGTGTGGCCTTCCTGACAGTAATCCTTTAAGGTGGTTAGAATTTGATTCAACTGAGTTGTCTCTTGGCCTGCCCTTCCGTATACCCTCAACCGGCTCCTGGCTCTTGCAACATTTGTGGGTACCCCTCTGTTCAGAGGCCAATGTTGGCGCCGTTGTGGCTGTCCTAGAGATCAAGGAAGCGAGGCCCAGACGTCATGTGATCTGCTGCCTCATGGACGTTTAGAGTTCTCAATCCATTATCCAAATGGAGCTTGGCCTGACTCTGCAGCTGAAACTGGGGGACCCGTTTCCAGCTGTCCTGAGGGGGGCTAAGGGGGTCCAGGTGACAGGGGTTGACCAAATCAGCCCTTGTCTTCATGCCAGCGGGCTTCCTATTCCCCATGCTGGCCTCCTCTCTACAATGAGAAGACACTGAGGGTGTGTTAAAGCTTTTATTTCACATCTGCTGACAAAACTGTGGCCCCACGCCCACTGGGGCCCGTGTGACACCCAAGAGTCCCTCAGCAGATCAACCGCTTTTAGTTAGTTAGACACAGGTGCAACCCGACTTTTTGGGGAGACCAAAGAGTTGTTGGTATGCTCGAAACCCATCCTTGTCAGGGGCATGACTTTCTTGTTTGTCCCTCCCGGGCATGGTGGAAGGAAGTCTCCAGGCACCAGGCCATGTGGCATGGCTGGAAGGTCTGTCAGGCATGGCTGTGACTCATTGTTCCTCTGGATGCAAGAATGTTCTTCCCACCCACAACCCTTGACGGTGGGGCAGGTGTGCATACAGGTGTGTGCTTTCTGTTGGACAGGGTGGGTTTCTGGAATCATCTGTACATCTGAGGACGCAGTCACCTCTTTCAGGAGACAGAGTTATCAGTTTCCGGCAGCCCCCGGGGGCAGTTTCTGTTGGACTCGGGGTCTGGGGAGGGGTGGACCTTTATGCTGGTGAACCTGTGTGCCTGGCGGCAGAGGAGAAGACTTCTTTGGCGTCTGGTGCTGGATCCGGTGGCCAGGAGGCCTGGGACGGTGACTGGGTGCCTGGGGCCGGTGACCCGGGGGTGGAGGAGGTTGGGAAGCTGCTGTCATTTTAGACGCAGAGCCGGGAGTCTGGGGGGGCTTCCGCACTCTTTCTTCGGGGGCTCCCCTGTGGGTCCTTATCTCCAGCTCCTCATCTGCAAGAAGAAAACCTCTCGAGAGGTCATCGCACTAAGACCCGTGGATCAGAAGGCTTAGTGTGCATCAGCTCTGTAGGCGGCCTCGCGGAGGCATATGGCGAGGAAGGTGAACTGCCTGTGAGCCCCGGGAGCTTCTGAGAATGGAGGGGACCAGAGGCGAAGACGGCCCAGGCGGAGAGCCGGGTCTCTGGGTTTCCTGAGAGCAGAGCGAGCCCCCAGGACCTCAGAGACCGAGCCCAGAAAGCCACCCCCGTTGCTTAGAGATTCTAACCTGAAAGGACAATATTATTGTGCTAGCAACTGAGGCAGCCCCGGCCTCCTGTCAACCCCTTGCCCCCCACCACTTGCAATGGAACTGGACAGGTTTCACTGGAAGGGGACTGCCAGGCCTTTCTTCCTCATGTGTCTCAGTCTGGAAGCTTCGCTGAAACCTGGAGATGACGGAGCCACCCTGCAGCTCCCACTGGCCCGGGAGTAGTAGCAGGAGATAAAGTAGCACCACTTTATCCCACTGCCCGCCCCCCATGGGGAACCCCACAGCAGTGACAGCAGGGGGACCAGTTGACATCAAGCCACTCTGACTCGCGGTCACCCCGGGTGTTTCAGACGAGAGTGATACTCCTGAGGGTTTTCAATGGCTGGTGTTCTAAAGCAGCTCTCCAGACCTTTCTTCCGAGGCACCTCTGAGTGGACTCGCCCCTTCAGCCTCTCCATTAGTAGCCAAGCCCATTCCCTGTTCCCACCCATAGAACAGCTTCTGCGGTAGATCTGCCTCCCCCGAATTCTGCTGCAAAGCCCCCTTGTTCTGGCAAGGAAGTGGGGGATACGCAAGAGAAGAGAATTTTCAGTGCTCAGAACCTTACAAGTCCCTCAGACATTCATAAATGGATCTGATCTTCTTGGGCTTGGAGGAAAAAGGAGTTCTCCTTCCCTCGGGCCCTGCGAACTTCCTGCTGCACGGACTCCTATCGGTGAGGACAGGCCCAGGGTAACAGGAATGTTGTTGCTTTTTCTTGGTTCTCTTAGAATCACTTGGAAATCTGTGAGGATGCTCCCCTGCTATTGGCCTGGGAAGGCCGTAGGGGGCCCCATGGCCTCCTTCAGGCTACATGTTCGATTCCCTGGTCCCCCAGCCCAAGGCCACCCCTGCAGTATGACTCCAGAGGGAGGCAGGGGAGGCGATTCTAAGAACAAAACGGAAGAGGCTCAAAGGGAAGGAAACAAAACAGGTATTCTCTGTGGCCCTGAGGTGCCCGCGGCAGCCTGGAGTCGTGCCCGGAGGCTGGGGTCACCGACGACTGGGTGGCTGGGTGATCGGGCATCCTCATTTTCCTCCTCCTGTGAGTGAGTTTGGTCTGCTCACCCTCGTCCTGGGTTTCCATAGACCGTGGTGGAACACGTGTGCAAAGCCAAACCTTTCTGTTGTGACCCTCCTTCAGTGTTCAGTGGCCAGGTGTTTGGAGGACCTGTCCCCACTCTCCGCCTCGAAATAGAACTCAGGACCCCTACCATAGCACCCCATTTCTCACCCACCCCTGGTCTCTCTGCTTTTGCCTCTTCTAGATACTGGGTGTAAGCGGGCTCATACAAAACGGGTCCTTGGGCCTCTCGTTTCCCTCGGCATCATATCTGCGAGGGGTCTCCGTGTCCAAGCATGTGTCAGAATGTCTTTTCTCTTTGGGCTGACCACCTTCATCCTTCTTGCTGCTCGCAGGTCCTGTCAGCAGGTATTCCTCACCCAAGCTATGTGCCAGGTAGCCTACCAAGTACGAGGGGGACTCCGACGCCTGTGCCCCTCCAGGAAGCCGCAGAGCAAGTTAAGTGAGACGGAGTGGGGCGACCAGCCACCATGTCAACCTCCTGGTAGGGCCCAGCGAAAGACACAGAGAGGTACCAACCAGATGAAGGTGCAGCATGAATTTCGGGAGGAGGAGGCTGCGGTGCCCATGTGGGTAGATGGCAATAGTGAAAGCCCCTACCTGGGTGCGGGTCCCCATGGCTGGGCCCAGCAAGCCCACATAGCATCTGGATCCACTGCCCCAACAGGGACCCAATGGACTTCCTCCAGGCTCGGGGCTGGGATGAGGTTGAGGCCAGCAAGGAGCCAAGAGCAACTGTGAGGAGGGGCTCCCTGGGAAGGTTGTGCAAGCACAAGGTTGTTCAAGTGACCCTGCTGCCCTGGGCTGCTTGCTTCTTTACCCTCCTCCCTGCCCTGACTCACGCTAACCTAGGGACCGGGGACTGCCGTGAATGAGTGCACCGTGAATGAGTGCACCGCATGGATTGAGGCTGCCCTTATCGGTATCAATGTCATCCGTCTCACAGTCACCCTTAAGATGGGATGAGATGACGGCTGTCAAGCGGGGCTATTTGTGTCTGGCATGGCTGACTTCTTTGTCAACTCAAGCCAGGCCTCTCTGTCCATTCAGCCTGGGGAGAGCAAGGATGGCCTTGTCACGGGTGGTGTGTGAGGCCCGCCGGGGAGCAGAGCATGGACTGCCCTGCTGCACAGAAGAGGCCTGGGCAGGGGCACAAGGACAGAGAGGGGAAGCCAGGGTGGCTCAGCAAGCAATTCCCTTTCACGGGGCACCGCGTGAAGGTGGGAGAAGCCGCGGGCAGGCCTCAGGCTGAGGAGCCACGACCTGAAGCGATGGCCAGCCATGGGAACGTTGGAGAAAGAGTTCCAAAGGACCCCGAATGCGAATGGGCACTGGCTGCTGTGGAGGGGGTTCTGACTCACGGTGACCCCGGTGTGTCAGAGTAGAACTGGGCTCCATATGGTTTCCATTGGCTGCTTTTTCTAAAATAGATTGCCAGGCCTTCCTTCCAGGATCGCTCTGGGTGGAATTGAACTGACGGTCTTTCAATTCGCTGCTGAGCAAGAGTGTTAACCACTTGCATTTCCGAGGCCCTCCAGAGAGCAGGCTCAGAGGCTGCCGTTGCCTGGGGTGGTTTGGCTCAGGCCCTTGTTTGGGAAGTGCGAGAGACAACCGATGGGGCCCTGATGGTGGAGTGGTTACTGGTTGGGCTGCTAGCAGTCCACGCAGCTTGCTGAACTGCAAGGGTTTGAAACCACCAGCCGCTCTGCAGGAGAAAGATGGGGTTTTCGACTCCGGTGAAGAGTGACAGGCTCAGAAAGCCACAGGGGAAGTTCTACTCTGCCCCATTGCGTCACCATGAGTCAGAAGCGACTCGACGGCAATGAGTTTTTGACACAGTCATGGGCACGCTGGGCCTGCTTTGAGGGAGGTCCAGAGGAAGGTGACTTGGGCCTGCTGTGAATGTGCAGGGTCTACAAAGCCCAGGGGGCCGGCTCACCTAGGTGCATGTCCTACTGGGGGTCAGGACCTCTCCCTGTGGGCGTGCCTTCAGTATAGGTTCCCAGCCACCCCTTCTCAGCGCTTGGGCACACCTGGGTTTGACTCCTCTAAGTGCATAGCTTTCGGTGGCCTGGAAGCTCCCGAGCTGCTTCCCCCTTACAACAGGCCTGTTTGGGGAAAGAACACTCAGAGCTAACAGACTCACCCCGACCACACATTGGAAAAGGGGCAAACCAGCTCGGTTTTGAGCGATCATTTTCCTGTGAGTAACTGACTGTCCAAAAATGACTTTACCTGCAGAAGCTAGGTCTTGGGAAAGGGCCAAAAGGCCCCTAGATCCTGATTTCCGGCTGGCCCTGGGGGCTAGGGGGTGGGGTGGGGGTTCTGAAAACAGCCCCCAGGATCCCGTCCCTCACACCTCTCTTGTCATCACCACCATGAATTTGGTTTCCAAAACCAAGGCAGCCACAAGGGGGAACAAGCTCGAGCCACCACTAGGCTGGGAACCCCCCCTGCTCCCTGATTCTCTTTCTAGATTCAGGGTGCCGTTGCCAGGAGTCAGTTCTGTGGGCGTTGGGCCGGGCGGGGTGGGGGTGGGAGTGGGCAGAGGCAGGGGAGCTTACCGACGCCCCTACTGCGCAGCTTTTTCTTCTTGCCGATGCAGAAAATGAGCAGAGCCAACAACAGGAAGAGGAGGACCCCTCCCCCGATGATGGTGATGATGAGGTAGAGATTTAGATCTTTCTCTGTAAGAAAAGAAATGGGATGGTGGGGAGGCGACCAGCCCCCAGACAGCAGATAAGAAATCGGTGGAGCTTTCCAGTCTCGTGAGGAGCCCTGGTGGCGCAGTGGTTGCGCATTGGGCTGCTGACTGCAAGGTCGGCAGTTCAAAACCGCCAGTTGCTCTTCGGGAGACAGGTGGCATTTTCTAATCCCATGAAGAGTCTTAGAAACCCACAAGGGCAGTTCTACCCTGTCCTATCGGATCATTATGAGTTAGCCTCGGGTCGATGGCAGTGAGTTTTGGTTTGGTTTTTCAGCCTCATGCAGACCAAGCTTAAGGAGGGGTGGCTGTTCATCCCCGAAAGGTTGAGCTTGTTCAGAAGGCCCCATCAGGGACTGTTCTCATGCATTCATCTTGCGCTGTCCCCAACAGAGAGAGATCTGCCTGAGATAACGCAGTGCGAAGCCCAGCTGCCTGAGCGTTCCCCTGCATGCTCCCTTTAAGCACGTTCTCGCCTGCCTTTGCACTGTGCATGCAGCGCTGGGCTCTGACTTCCTCCTTCCCCAGGAATCCTTCGCCACCCTCTTCATCAGGCAGTTGCTAGGCACTCAGGGACCATGTCACTTGTTCAGCCCAACCCTCTGCCCTTGCAGCCAGCCGCCCCTCCCAGGCCTTCCCTGCCCTACAGAGGAGCGCAGATACACCGGGAGTTGGCCCTATGGCACTTCTTGGAGAGGAGAGAGAGTGGGTTAAATCTAGGCTCGGCCTGGCAAGGGCTGCGTGACCTTTGGCAAGATCTTCACCTCTCTGAGCCTGCTTCCTTCATGGCCAAATGGAGACCAGGAAACCTATGTCACAGAGTGGCTGTTGAGAATCATAGTGGATAAGACGGGGCTTGGTGACCCATCAAGCAGCTCACAGAATGGAGACCCCGCCCTCACTGCCCTCCTGGCCCTGGAGGCTCTGTGAGCTGGGCCCAAGGAGGGATGCTACTGCCCTTGGCAGCCATCAACTACCGCTGGAAAAGCAGAGGCTGGGCATGGACTCAGAGGCTAGCTGGGCTCAGAGAAGTCCAGCCTCCACCTCCCCAAGGAAATACACGCTTCACAGGAACCTCCTGAGGCAGCTCGCGTCTTAACACGAAACCAAACTTGGTGATTTTGCACATCACAGGGCCATGTGCATCCTCAACTCGTTTTTCTCAGCTCGCTCTCTGACCCATTCTTGAGCGGCCAGCTACGCAAAACTGGACGACAGGAACAGGTGCTCTTATAAGCTGCCGTGGGGCCGGGCCAACAAAGGACGCGGGCTCTGTCAGGAGAGGAGGCAAGGGCTGCTAAATTCATGCCATGCCCAGGCCAGGGTCCTCCAAGATTCGGCCCAGGGTCAGCGGGGCCGACCTTGGAGCAGGCTGGGGACCTCATGGCTCTCAGTGTCCTCTGGCAAGGCTGCCATGCACGTATTGTGGGCACATTCCGTCCACGGCCCCTTCTCCGGTTTGTGCAGCACAGCCCTCAGGGCAGTAGGTGGGTGCTCCAGCTGGGCAGTGGTCCAGCGGGTCTCAGGGGCAGCTGTGGCTCTGACCTTTCAGCCTAGCCCCACTTCCTCTTGGAGAGAACATACCTATACGTTCAGGTGGAGGAATCCTTCTTGGGCATCCAAATCTGCTTTGTTTAAAGAAGACGCTCACCTGACCGGAGCCAAACTGTCAGTCTGATCATTGCTTCTCTCTGCCTTGGTCTTTAGGATCAGATGTGCAGACCCTCTTAGGGCCTTTAAAAGCAGTTCTCTTCCCACCCAGGCATTTCCCTCCCCTCTCTAGAAGCCTATCCTGGGCCTGCTCCCTTTCTGCACCATCGAATAAGGATGTGAGAATGTTCCAGTCTTCTCCCCATCCCTGGCATCATTTCCTAAGTGCACACATTTTTATACTCATGAATCATAGTAAAAATGTACATTGAACATAGGGCTGCCAGATAAAATACAGGTGCCCCATAAAATTTTCAATATTAATACTACCCATAATTCTTAGTAAAAGTGGCTCGGGATGGAATCAAAACGTTTGTAGACCAAAAGGAACGGAAAGATAGTAGATTCCATGCACTATTTTGGAACATGCTTACACCAAGAGAACAAGAGTCTTCATTCCTTATTTATAATTCTAATCTAACCAGGGGTCCCACATTTTTATTTGTTAACTTTGGCAGCCTAGTCAAGAGGCTCTGGAGAGGAAAAGAGGGTCATCAAGAGGGTCGCGATGGGAGGATGTCGGGAGATTGCTGCTGAGGAAGGCCGAGGCAAGAGAGATGGCGGTCTAAGTGCATGGTTGGCAGCCTCTACGATGATCCCCAGCGATGCTCATCTTCTGCTGTCCAGTTGATGTCCCCTCCAGCTGAGTCATCCCCTCCGGCTGAGTCGGGCTTCACAGCTGCAGAGGTCATGATACGTCCCTTGCAATACTAGGCTATCAAAAGGCAGTGGCTTCTGTCAGAAGATTTTTCCCTGAGGGAAGCGAGGCACCATGTGGTGAGGTAACCCAGTGGAGAGGCCCACCCAAAGGAGCTTGGTTTCAGAGGCCTGCCAACAGTCGCATGCGTGAGCTTCGAAGCGAATCCTCCCTCCAAGAGAATCTTGGCATCACTGTGGTCCCCTCCCAGTTGCTGCCTAGTGAGAAGCTGTGAGCCAGAACCACCCAGCGAAGCCCCTAGATTCCTGATTCACACAGACTGTGAGATAACAAATGCTTATTGTCTTGAGTTGGTACATTTGGGATAATCTGTTACATAGCAATAGATAAATAATACAAAGACAAAAAAAAAGGGTTGGAATTGGAGTTGTGTCAGTTCCAGCTCATAGAGACCCCATGAGCCTAGAACTGTGCCCCATGACTATTTTTCCCCCTTCGACTTAGATTACCAGGTCTTTTTTCCGAGGCACCCCTATGGGACGAGGAACCACCACCGGTAACAAGTGTGCATTAGAAAGTCTGACTTCTGACTCCATGTAGCTCAAAGCTGCCTCTTGGAGTCAGAACAAGTTAGCGGTTGCTGTAAGACTTCAAGGTGTCTGACGGAATATTTTGTGTTTCCCTTCAAGTAGTTTGACTAAACATAACTGGGAAAAAATTGACAAATTCTCAAAGGAGTAGGCTCTCGAGGATGATGGAACTCAGCCTCTTGTGGATCAAGAAGCTGAAGTCCAGAGCGCAAAGTACCTCCATCAAAGTCATCAATTACGTTTTCACAGAACCCAAACTAGCGTCCAGTAGCTGGTGCTCAGGCCAAGGCTGGAGCACTTTGCTGGATGGCCTCTCCAAAATTACGTCTGGGGAGCACGTCACACTGGGATTCTGGAGAAGAACTGAGGCTCTTGGCATTTCAAGACTTCCTGATAAAGCAAGGCCTCCCTGGGTCCGCACGCTTCCTTGGCCTGTGGCCCTCATGTCCAAGGTTTCTAAAGCCATGGTCCTTTCTTAAATTACTCCTATAAGAGATGCTGACCACTTCCCATCCACAAAGGCATCTTATTTTGGCTCTCTTTTCCTTCATTTCCTTGTGAATCAGATTCACGCTGAGAAGCCTTGGACAAGCCAACCTCATGCCCTTGGAAAGTAAAGGCTTGAATGAAATGGTCTTGTGAGAGTTAGGTTTGGGGTTAACTTGGCTGGGCCGGGAGTCTCAGGTGTCGTTGTCATTGTTGTTAGGTGCCCTCAAGTTGGTTCTGACCCATCGCGACCCTCTGCACAACAGATCGAAGCCCTGCATGGTCCTGGGCCATCCTCACAATGGTTCCTATGCCTGAGCCCATTTTCCTAGCCACTGTGTCCGTCCATCTCCTTGAGGGTCTTCCTCTTCTTCACTGCCCCCTGCTTTAGCAAGCACGTCCTTCCCCTGACAATCCATCTCATGTATGTAAGGCAAAGTCTTGCCATCCTCACTTCCAAAGCGCATTCTTCCAAGACAGACTGGCTCGTCCTTTAAGCAGTCCAGGATACGTGCATGATTCCTCTCCAGCGCCACAATTCAAACGCACCAATGCTTCTTCATTCGTCCCTTTTCACTGTCCAATGTTCACCTGCCTATAAGGCAATTGAAACGACCATGGCTTGGGTCACGTGCACTTTAGTCTTCAAAGAGACATCTTGCTCTTCAGTACTCTAAAGAGGTCTGGTGCAGCAGATTTACCTAAGGCAATACGTCTTTGAGCTCTTGACTGCTGCTTCCATGAGCATTGATTGTGGATCCAAGCAAGATGAAATCCTTGACAACGTCCACCTCTTGTCCAGGTATCATGATGTTTCCCATTGGTCCAGTTGTGAGCATTGTTGTTTTCTTTACACTGAGGCATCACACATACTGAAGGCTGCAATCCATGATCAGTAAGTGCTTCAAGTCCTCCTCACTTTCAACAAGCCAGGTTGTGTCATCTGCACATCTCAGGTTGTTACTAACTCTTCCTTCAATCCTGATGCCACCTTCTTCTTCATACAATGCAGCTTCTCTGGGATCTGCTCAGTTACAGATTGAATGAGCATGGGGATAGGATACAACCTGACGCACACCTTTCCTGATTTTAAACCAGGCAGTATTCCCTTGCTCTGTTCACACAACTGCCTCTTGATCCAGGTTCAAGTTCTGCAGGAGTAAAATAAAGTATGCTGCAATTCTTTGTTGTCTGTTCTTCATCTGGAAGCTCCTCTGAAACCCGTTCATTTTGTGTGACCTTGCTGGCATTTGAAATACCAGTGACATAGCAACCCACAAGCCACCACAGTAGGACAAACTGACAGACGAGGGGTGGGTTTGGCAGTTAAAACCTAATAACCCCTCCATCATGTGACCTCATGCAATGTAGGAAGCTCCATAATGAGATCTACAATGAACAGCCAATCACTTGTAGGAAGATGAAAGTGGGACACAACCCCCCCTACTGCGATCACAGCCCCATGTAATTAAAAGGAAGTTTCCTCAAGAGTGTGGCTTGCAGCTCCACAGGGGAAGGGAGAGGCTTTCTTCTGTGAAGATGTGCAGGCTCGGAGACTCACGGGGGCAGTCCTACCCTGCCCTACAAGGTCGCTGTGAGTCAGCATTGACTTGATGGCAGTGGAAGTGATACCCCTGCAGGGTAACAGATAATGTTCTCTGACATGAAATGACAACGATGTCTCTAAAGTGAACCAGAGATATATAACCCATAGATATGTTCATGGCTTTGGGGCTTGCACATACCTAGTCCCAATGTAAGAACAATTCATTCTAATGACATGGCCTTGTTTGATGCTCGGCCTCATGAATAAGTCAATGAAGAGACGGGTGCTATGGCAAAGTGTGGTGAAGAAGCTAGATGGTGCCCGACTATCAGAAAGAATAACATCTTGGGTCTGAAAGCCTTCTTTTCAAACAAGCAGCCATCTAAGTAAGGTGCCAACTAGGTCCACATGGAAGAAGCACACCAGCCTGAGAGATCCAAGGATTGTAAATAATATAATACAGATCTAAAGGAGTGAGCAGAATCAGAGCTTACATTGTAAACACCCAGCACGCAGAAGGCAATGGATGACAGTGGAAGCCCACACATATGGACTGAGCCTCTCAGGAAACCCTCTGATCATAGTGAGAGATGTGAACAGCCCTGTTATGAGTCAGAAAGCATGGTAAAGTCAATAGGGCAGACATAGTGAGGCCAAAATGTAATAGCTTATCATTTGCTCTCTCTTTTGACCCATTTTAAATCCGTTTCAGTTTTGTTTTGTAAGGGAAGGGCAAACACACAGGGATTAAGCCTCTCTGACCAGGAAGCAGGGATGTGAACAGTACTGCTCTCATGCAGAGTGCATGGGAAAGTGGACTGCTGCCTATGCGATTAGGTTACAGTCTACCACTCTATTATCTGATCTCCCTTGGGATCCATCTAAATATGCTCTAGTTTTTAATATTTTGTTTTCTTTTCGATTGGGGTTTCTATCTGTTTTACTTTGTCATTCTTGTTAGTTTTTTTTTTTCTTTTTAAAATTATTTTATTGGTGCTCATACAACTCTCACCACAATCCATACATCCATCCATTGTGTCAAGCACATTTGTACATTTGTTGCCCTCATCAGTCTCAAAACATTTGCTTTCTACTTGAGCCCTTGGTATCAGCTCCTCACTTTTTCCCCTCCCTCCCCGCCCTCTCTTGTTAGTTTTTGTTTGTTTTTAGATGTTTTTCTGTATATGAAATCCAGGATAGGTAAATCTATAGAGACAGTAACTGGATTAATTGTTCCTTGAGGTTCTGGCAGGGAAGGTTTGGGGGAATGGGGAGCTCATAATGATGAATACAAGAATGAAAAAAAAAGTTCTAAAACTGATGGTAATGATGATTATACAACTCTTCTTGATGTGATTGAACTACTGAATTGTGTGTTGTGTAAAATCTATGCCAATAAAACTGTTGGGAAAAATAAATAAATTTTAATAAAAGAGTGGGGCTTGCTTCCAGTCTAAGTGGACACTGTGAGAAAGCCTGTTTTTCTTTTGGTGAGCCTGAATCTCACACCTGGCTCATTGTTGTCCAGTTTTTTGGAACTGGGCCAGTGACCTGGCCGAGGGCCTGCTGATCCTGGGACCTGACATCTGATCTAGAATTCACCCGACTCTGCAGCCCCAAATCTGATCTGCTCATCTTGGAGTCCTCCACCTGTGATCTTGAGTGCATCAGCCCCTAAAACTACCTGAGTCAGGAGAAACTGCAGCCTGCCATCTGATTCACAAATCTGCAATCTGCCTAGACTTGCGCGTGCCTGCTTCTACGACTGTGGGAGCCGTTTTCTGTATTTATATACTGTGCGATGTCGACTTCTGTATTTATATACTGTGCGATGTCGATTTCTGTATTTATATACTGTGTCATATCGATGTATGTATTTATATACTGTGCAATGTCAATTCTGTATCTATATACTGTGCGATGTCGATCTCTGTATCTATGTACTGTGCGATGTCGATCTCTGTATCTATATACTGTGCGATGTCGATCTCTGTGTCTATATACTGTGCGATGTCGATCTCTGTGTCTATATACTGTGCGATGTCGATCTCTGTATCTATGTACTGTGCGATGTCGATCTCTGTATCTATATACTGTGCAATGTCGATCTCTGTATCTATATACTGTGCGATGTCGATCTCTGTGTCTATATACTGTTTGATATCGATCTCTGTGTCTATATACTGTGCGATGTCGATCTCTGTGTCTATATACTGTGCCATGTCGACTTCTGTATTTATATACTGTGCCATGTCGATTTCGGTATTTATATACTGTGCGACGTCGACTTCTGTATTTATATACTGTGCGACATCGATTTCTGTATTTATATACTGTGCGACGTCGACCTCTGTATTTATATACTGTGTGATGTCAATTCTGTATTTATATACTGTGTGATGTCGATTTCTGTATTTATATACATACCTAAGTGCCACTGGTGTTGTTTCTCTGAGAGCCTGTCCTGAGACACCTGCTCTATCTCTCCAACTCTCCCTCCAAGATTGACAACTAAATATCACCCCCTGCTCTCTGATGTCCCATAGAAGTTTCCAGGACAACAAGGCATGTTTTCACGTCTTATCCTGAGCCAAGACTGTGCCCTGGAATGCGCCCCTGCCACGGGCCTGGCACATTTGTGCAATGGGTTTGGGGCGTTCTCACGTAATGCCTGCCAAAAACGTACCTGTGCAGCTGATGTCGGCCACGCTGGTTTCACTACTGACTTTGTTGCTCGCTGTGCAGGTGAATGATGTGTCCTGGTTCCTGCGCCAGACGAATGTGATGACCTTCTGCTGATCCTTTCTTTTGACGACTGTCCCATTTTGAAGCAGTTGGAGTTCAGGTTCACTTCCTTTCATTACCTTACAGGTGAGAGTTCTGTTGACACAATTCCAAGAGATCACTGGCACGGAGACCCTCTCTGAAAATGGTAAGAAAGATACAATTTACACGAGGCAATTTTCGGATGTTAATGGATACGCCTCTGTATACAGGGAGCTTTGGATTCAGTTGGTGGCCAAGGAGCCACTTCAAAGCCCCCTTTTAGAGTGGCAGAAAATTAATTAAAAAAAATATTTTCTAAAATAGCTTGTATTGTATTTTCAGGGTGGGGGTATAAAAGGGTTTCTGGGAAAGTTCATAGATAGCAGTAACAAAGTGCAGAATATTTTTGGTATCATTGAATCCTGAAAACAAACTGAAAAGTTGATGCTTATCTTCCCAGTGAGGGATGAAATGGAATGCTGGTAGCACAGCGGGCTAAGCATGGGTTGCTAACCACAACGTTGGCAGTTCAAACTCACCAGTGGCTCCAAGAAGGAAAGATGAGCCGTCTGCCCAGTGACCACGGGACAGTCTACTCCATCCCATCAGGTCACTATACATTGAAAGCCACTTCACAGCAGTGGTTTTCTGGGGCATGGTGGCACGTGCACAGCTCTGCCCGAACCTCCGTCCATCCATGGCAGGTCAGGACAGGGGCCTGCTCTCCTGCATCTAAGCTTAGCAATAGGAGTAGGAGGGCTGCCATGTCCTGATCCCTGCTGCCTTCAAGCACCCTAACTGGAGAAATCTGTGGGACCCAGGACCTTGACCACAAAGGGGTCCTGGGAGCTGGGTGTGGGAAGTAGATGAATGGGGGTGGGGGTGGGGGCTTGAAAAACACCAGCCTGGGAGTCAGGAGGCCTAGTTTTGCTCTCTCTTGACCTAAGGCCTCCTGGCTGCCCTCAGTGCCTCTCTGCACCTTATCTGTAAGAGGAGGACAAGGGACACATGCTCTGCCAGTCACAAAAGGGCACCATGTGGGGAGGCTCTGGGCTCATTGTCTTGCCGGGTACAGTAGAAGGTGGATGAAAATCAAGGGAGAACCTCAAGGAGATGGACAGACACCGGGGCTGCCGCACACGTCCGAGCAGTTTTTTGAAGCCAGCACACAGCTGGGCAGTGCTTTGTAGGGGTCTCGACGAGTCAGAACAGACTCGATGGCCCCTCTTCACCATCACGAGGGCCTCACTTCCCTCTTTGCAGCATGACAGTCATTTACAGGCTGCATGGAAAAGGGAGAAGCATCGAACAAGCCAGGCCCAGATCCGCCCTCCACGTCTCCCTGGTTCTGAAGGCATCGATTGTCCTCCCCTGCAAGCGGCTGTGCTGGTCTTCCCCCTGTGACGGTGCGTGAGGAGTGGATGAACTCATGAATGGGATGGGGGGTGCAGGGGGCACGGAGAGCTAGCATTAGTGCCCGGTGCATGGGCGCTGGTTGGATCAGAAACTGGAGTGGGTTTGAAAGACTGGCATCCGCTCTGGGAGCTCCCATTTCAGCTGCCCACATCAAGGTCACCTTTGGGATTTTCCTGGCTGGTTCCCTCTGAGGAAGAAATCCACGACAGCCAGCTTCCTCCGTGGGTCTCTCAGAGATCCCCAGCAAAGTCAGCCTCAAGAATCGCTTGCTCTGGAAACCAGGGCTTGTGAGGGCTACTCCAGCTCACGCCTGCTTTCTCTCTCTCTCTCTCTCTCTCTCTCTCTCTCACACACACACACCTGACCCTGCCCGCCTCTCCTCTTCCATTTTCTCCCCTTCCACTCTTGCTCTCAGCCCTGACGCCATCTCCTCCCCCAGAATCTTTCCATCTTTCTCTCCATGTCTGTCTGTCTATCACGCAGATGGACCACATCGGCCTCCGTGGTTCCTTCCCTCCTCAACTCTCTAGCAACTATACCCTTCCCCAGAAACTCTCCCAGCCAAATTTCATTCAGGAATTGCGTGGGGGCCAAGCAAGGAGACTGGGGACAGCCCATTGCATACTCTAGGGATGGGGTCCAAGCAGTTACCTGTCTCTTCACAACGGAAGTTTGCCTAGGAAAACACCTACGAAAGCCCGAAACGGTGGAAGCCGGAATCCTGTTAGAAAAAGGAAACCTCAAACGTTTCCCACTGAATGGAGCAACGGGAACGCGGAAGGTCTGTACCCTGCCGAAGGCCAACAGTCCCGCCCAGTTCCAACCCCTGCACTTTCACTGTGTAACGGAATCATGAAATCATTGTGAAAAGTGGTGAAGTACATGTTTGTACATATTTAAAGAAGATTTAGAGTCACCTGCAAGTCCACTACCCAGAATCAGTCATTATTAACATTTTGAAGAATATCTTTACTGCTTTTCTCAGCATGTGTACCTGTATAAACAGGACTGGGATAGTAAGACTGACTTATCTGATTTTGTAGGCTGCCTTCTGATCCTGACCTATTGTAACTTTTTTTCCCTTTATAAACACCAATAAATACACATCTCCATCCTATTTTAAAACAATGCATTCATCAGTTAATACATTTCTGACAAGTAGGGACTTTATTTTGTATTATTATTTATCTTCGCAGCCTCAGCAGTGTGCGCTGTGTTCCTGTGTAGCCTCTGTTGGTCAGTGCACAGCGCCGGTTCTGACTCACAGGGCCCCAGTCTATCTATGTCCAGTGAAAGAAAGCACCCCTGGTCCTGACCATCCTCGCAAGGGTGGTTATGTTTGGACTCATGGCTCGGATGCTCTGTCCATCCACCTTGTCGTGGGTCTTCCTCTTGGTCCCTCCCCTTCATTTGACCCGCTCGCTGTCCATTTTCTAGGGACTAATTTCTGGTGACATGTCAAACGGAGTCGTGAGAGGACATCTCCCCAGCCTCACTTTCGAGGGGCACTCTGAGGGTCCTTCCTCCAGGACAGACTCTCCTTTCTCCGAGATCGCTTCCCAGCCTGCAAGACGGCCAGGTCAAGGGGGTGACCTGTGAAGATGTCCTCAAGGCGTGAAAAGTCTTCATTCTAGCCGTACCCCTGCCTCCTCCACCAACATCTGCTTTAAAGAGTTCTCGCAACCAGTGTGTGCTCGACCCCCTCCTTCAGGAGACCTGGCCCATGAATGAAGCAGAGAGAAACAAAGAAGTGGGGGAGGGCACGGCGCCTGCACGCGCGCGCATGCGCACACATCCCGGCTCTGCAGAGCACAACTGTGTCGCGGAAGCTCTCTATGTCCCTTGAAGTTTTTATTCTGGTAAAAACCAGACACAGCACAGAGAAAAAATTTGCTCAGGAAATGGGGAAAGTACCAGACATTGAGAGGCCGTGCGAGTTGATGTGTGTGCGTGCCCCTGCACACTCGCACCCAGACCACTGTGAGGCAGCCCCTGTGTGTGCAAAGATTGCTGTCGCCTGGCTAGGCAGGGCAGACTTTCTCCTGGTGGGGATGAAAATGTTCTAACATCGTGCGGATGGTTACACAGCTCTGTGAATATGAACACGGAGTCGCTGGAAATTTCAAACTAATGGCATTTTCCCTTGAACTTTTGTAAACCCGCTCGTCTATTAAAAGCCATTGAACTCTGCACTTTAAAGGGGTGAATTGTTTGGTGGAGCACACCAATAACTCTATTTTTAAAATAAAAGTCACTGCTGTGCAGGCAGGAGCCCTGGGTTTTCGCTCGTGGCTTTGCTCCCGTGTCTTCTGGCTGGCTCTCTGCTGCCGCACAGACCACAGGGGGACAATACAACACCTGACCCGTAGCTGTAGCTGGGGAGTGGTAGGGGGAAAGCGCTAACAGAACCCCGGGATAGTGGATGCTCAGAGGGGCCTCTTGGCCCAGTCAATGCATTTGGATGTGTCCCCCAGGGTTTGTAAGCCACACCCTCTGCTACACCCCTCGCAGCCCAGCCCACCCCATTTCTGGGGTTCTCTCCATCCAAGGGTGCAGGACGAGGGGCACAGGAAATGGTCATGCCTATGGGGGGTTGATACCATCCGGCATCGCTGGAGAGGGGCTGGTGCTTTGTTCATTTGTCCCTTGGCAGCAGGAGGGGGCCCTGCCTCCCGTGGCATTTCCTGTGTGACGCCTGGGCCTGTTTACTTGCTCACGGACCCACGGGCTTGTCCTCAGGCGGGTTTTAGTCATCCTGTCCAAGTCAAGGGCCCCTTCCTGGTCTCGCCCCCTTTCTCATCCGTCACGCCCTCACCCAAGCCGTCTTGCTCATCCTTCTCCCAGAAACAACTCTCTCAGTCTGACCTTCCCAACTTCTAGACACCCTGGAGTCTAGGTTGCCAACTCCGTAACCCATCTGGAGATGCTGAGTATCCCAAGATCCCTTTCAGAGTTTTGAGAAGCGAATGCTACCCAGACCCAAAGCTAATGAGCACTGTGAGATGTCTTACCTTCCCCGTTGATTCTAAATGTACCGCCAGCAATTCACAGTCCCCTGCCGCCCCTCTTCACTTGACTTAGTTTATAGCACCAGCTGCCTGGCTGGTCTTTTTGCCACCGCCTTCAACATCCATCCCTACCCGACATGCACACATATACAAAGTCACACCTGTGTGTGTTCTACACAACCAGCAAAAACCAATGTCCACCTTCCATCAAATTGGAAGCTAGGGCTTCTAATCTTAAAATTCCTTCTTCCCGTCTTTTTCCTGCCATATAACTAAGCCTTCAAAGGACCGGTGGCTTGGAATCAACTCTTTAACTGAAAGACCCACTCCTCTCTAGATAGCCTCTGCTCCCCTCCCTGTCTCCCCCCACAGCTCGCCCCTCCATCGTCTGGAACGTCCACTGCTTTCCTTGGCCCCCGTTTTCCACCTGAGTAAGGTGCCACCATCATCCCGGTCCTTCTGCCCTCTCCATGCCCCTGAGACCCTCTGAAGCAGTGGTTCTCAACCTTCCTAACGCCGTGACCCTTTCATACAGTTCCTCATGTGGTGGTGACCCCCAGCCATACAATTATTTTCATTGCTACTTCATCACTGTCATTTTGCTACTGTTATGAATCGGGCGACCCCTGTGAAAGGGGTTACAAACTGCTGATAAAGGAAGTGTTACAGGCCTTGTAAGTCTATCAGCTGTTTGTTTCCACAAGGGTGACTTCCACCTCCTCCACAGGGCCATCGGGGCCACTGGGGCAGGAGGGAAGTATGACAGGTCCTTTAGACTGTGACCAGAGTCGCTGTGGGACATTCCACCTGTGCTCCTCACCACCCTGCGGAAACAGGAACGCAGACGACACACACTCACCCAGAACTGTCAGACGGATTTTGCTTTCCATTAAGTTTTTCCCATTCGCGTCGTAGGCTTCAACCTTGTAGATATCATTAAAATCTGCCGTCAGGTTTTTGATCCTCAGAGATCCATTTTGCAGCAGCTCGTACTCCTTTTGCGAGGTACGCTTCTGGTCTTTCAGGAGCGCGATCCTGGTCTTGGTTTCTCCTTTGTACCATCGGATATCACTGATCGACGTGTCCATCTTCAAGCCAGGGAAGTCTAGGGTGACATCATGATCCAGGATGCCCAAGGTGTCCTTGAGCATCTCAGAGGCCATACCTAGGAGAAGCCAGAGAGTTAGTGAGGCCCTGCAGCTCACCGAGGAGGCAGGCCGGGCTGCGTGTGGTCTCCCGAATGCCTAGATTCACTTCAGGGTCTGCGAGGGTGGATCCCCACCTGCCAACTTACCCTTGGTGACCCAGTTGCAAAGCAGGAGGACGCTGGCTAAAATGTTACACGGCAGGTGCATGGCGGGTGCTGGTGGTGATTTTGAGCTCTTCTTGCAAAAGGAAGTGAAGTGGGACTGGCGGGACCCACCCCCCGAGAGATCAACCACATGTCTCTCTTCTGCTTCTTTTACAGTAGTGGAGAATGCACCCACACACCCACTCAGCTAACGGATCCTTCTGACGTGAGCCTGTACCAAAACGGGTGTGTGTACAAGTATGTGTTTTCTGATCCTATGCTAATCTCACAACATGTTGGGTGCATTTTAATCTGCTCACTCATGCAGAAGGAGAACTGAGAGCCCAAGTAAGCCAGGCAGGATCATCCTCTCAGTAAATGAGGAGCAAGGTGCACCCAGACAGCTGCATTCTTCTCTCCTTTCTGCATGCCAGCCTCTGACGAGACCACACAGAAATATGGGTAGTTGCCGGTAAGTGCGTAGCTGAGCACAACTCTTGATCTGATGACTATAAATGTTGTAAAATGCCATGCATATCAGTTAGTTATGAAGGTGGATTTTTCATTATTTCCCCAAACTTCTTTTGGATGCTCTCCATTTGTTTTTGTCCCCAAAAGAAACAAATAAAAATTGATCTCAGCCGTACATATGTGCTACCCCCAATTCTCATGTTTGGCACATGTTTCACGAGCTCCCTGGAATGTAACAGTTAGATAAACAGAAGCTGGTTCCCAAACAAAGAAACACAGAGATGAACAAACCCTGCTTCAACAAAAGCCAAGGCCTTAAAAGCATTCAAAGCAGTTCACACGGTACATAGCTCAAAGACAGGGACCGATCAGAGGGAAAACAAAGGGAAGTGGAAGGGCACTGAGAGAGGGAAAGAGAAATGAAATTTGTAACTCAGCAAGGGAGTCACAAATAGTGCAGCATTACAGCAGTGTCCAACGATTCCAGGATGGATGAATGGGCCCAGAAAAGGAGGCACAGAGGCATGCAGTCACAGGAAGATAGAGGTATGAATATGAGTATAGATATTAATATGAATATATTAATGTGTACCCACTCATTCCTAATGGCAGAGTCCCCAAGAAAACCTCCAGAATTAGAATCCCATGGGCTGCTGTGTGGGGGGGAAAAAATCTTAAAAGTGGTTGTGTTTGTGTCTTTTTACTTTTTTTCTGCGTAATGTACCACCAGTGGTTAGATTCTTCCAGAAGGTTGCCCAAGAAATGAAATAAAATGACAGGAATGGGTCTTTTCTTCCTCTAGGTGAAAGGAAGCCTAAACAGAATATTTACCCGATAGGTGTGTGCTACATGCCGACCTGATATAACCCATGAAATGAACTGGAGTTGGCTTAAACACTTTTCCGTCATATGTTTCTGGCTTTCCTTACAGGCTTACGCAGCAGTTTAACTCCCGGTTCAACACTTCCTGCACGCTTTTGTGTGGCAACGTTGGTTACATTGTTCACAACAGGTGAGCGTTCTCAATATTTCCGTTCTGTCCTCGTTTCTCAGCCTTCTTCCTTGCTCAGCTTTGTTTTGAAGGGATTGTTAGCCTTTGGGCCTCACCTAGACGAGTTGTCAAAGGAGGACAGGGCTCACTAGTGATGTTCATTATTTCGTGAGCCAAGCTGCGACAAGGGGTTAGTATCAGTTCAAGGGTTAATGGCTTAAAATTTTTAATGTGCAAAGAAGCTGATGGAGCGCTGAAAAAATATATTGTTATATCTTTGAGTATGGAAGGCCTTCCTACGAATGATAAACTCTCCAAAAGTAATAAAGAGAAGATGTGAGCAGTTAATTACAAAAAATGAAACTTGTATGCAAAGAGATAATAAGCAAAATGGCAACACAGGACAGGAAGTACTCACAATATCTATGAAAAGTCATTACTATGAAAAATAAGTCGTTTCTATCAATCAATAAGAAAAGAAAACACCACTTGTTCAAAATGAGCCACTGAGATAAATGAACACTGTATTGACAGTTTATTGAATAAATACAAAAATGTGAGAGACACTTAACTGCCTGGAAATACCATAAATTTTATTTTCACCATCAAATCAGCCAAATTAGAAAAAGGGGAAAAAATAGACAAGAATATGGCAACCCTCCTCGGTATTCACCCTCAGGAGTAGATCACTGGAGAGACTGTGGTGTCACAGTAGAGTGTGGTGAAAAAATCAGATAGTGCTCAGCTATCCGAAAGAATAGTGCCTGGGTCTGAAAGGCTTGTTTCCAAACAGCAGTCGTCTAAATGAGACGTCAGCTAACATCACACAGAAGAGACACACCAACTTGTGTGATCCAAAGATTACCAATAGGAAAATATACAAATCCAGAGGAGGGAATGATCTTGGAGCTTACATTTTGAACACCCAGCTTGCAGAAGGCTATGGGAGGGCAGTGGAAGCCCCAGATCCATTTGCAGGGTGACCATGAGGATTACAGCTCTGACCATAGTCCAGAGAGGTGCATAGCCTTGCTACCAGACAGGGAGGATTGTAACATCATTGATGATGGAGGGAGTTGGGTTAAAATGTAACATTTGTCATTTGATCTCCTTTTTGACCCATTTTGAATTTGTTCCAGTTTTTAATATTTTATACTCTTTTGAATTGAGATTTTTCTCTGTTTATTCTGCCATTGTTAGGGTGTTTTTGTTTTTGTTCTTTTGGTTGGTTGGCTGGTTCTTGATTTTGTTTAGATTGTCCCTTCAGTATGTGAATCCCAGGATAGCTAAAGCTATAGCATCAGTAACTGCATTAATAATTACCTAGGGAGCTGGCAGGGAAGGTTGGGGAGAAATGGGGGCTCACAATGAGTAGAATAAAGAAGAAAATGTTCTAAAACTGATTGTGGTGATGATTACACAACCTTCTTATGACTGAACTATTGAGTTGGATGACATGTAAATTAAATGACAATTCAAAATTTATTAATAAAAAAATTGAAAGCAAGAAAAGACAAAGAGAAGGTACATCGTGATCATACAACAGATTAACACATAATAGCTGCGTAAAATATACGAGTGTATGTAAAAGCTAATGAACAAACCGATTAGTTTTTAAAATCAAATATAATGCAGCAACAAATGACCATCTTCTTGTAACATTTGGAGAGAGTGTGAATCAGTATTTCTGGGGAGGCCACAGCTTGTTTGGCCATTTTCAAAGATATGTTTTGACCTAATCATTTCAGTTCAAGATGTCTGTCTTGCACAAATGGTTTCATAGATGCATGAAGATTCTGTTCAAGAACGAGGGTTGTAGCGCTGTCTGTCATAAAAATTACAAGTGACTAAACTGATGACAGCTTTGTTTTGAAGCATCGCCAACAATTAAAATAGAATGAAGGAGACCCATACATAAGAAATGGAAAGACACTTTTGAGGAATTACATGAAAACAGTAAATTGCATACATAGCAAAAACACACATAGCATAACTTTTTTAATGTGTTATATCGTATCAAATCACATATCATTTTATATTGATATGATTAGTATATGCATGAGGAAAAGTGTAGAAGGATTTGCACCAATTATTTTATAGTGCTTGTCTCTCTGGACAATTCAGTAACTTCTATGAGATTTGAAATTTTGATAGCACATTGCTTTTCTAAGGAAAATAATGTTTTTTTTGGCACCCTCAATGTGCCGCTCTCATGTGATCTCAGAAGCGAAGCAGCGTCAGGCCTGGTTAGTCCTCGGATGGGAGAACATGGTTTTTGTTTTTTAACTACGGAATTCTTAAGACACACATACCTTTTTACACAAGCGTACACAGATCCTGAGACACCCTTACTATCTGACTTCTAAGTCCTGGGCTAGATTTATGGTTGTTGAGTCTTGTCCACAATGACCCAGGTAGAACTGCCCCAGAGAGCGTCCTAGACTGTAGCTTTTATGGGAGCTGTTCACCAGGTCCTTTCTTCCGCAGAGCAGCTGGTGGGGTCAAACAGCCACCCCTTTTTGTTTTCAGTTGAATGCTTAACCCTTATGTCACCAGGGTCCCCTTGTGATGACTTGCGAAGGCACCCCCGTAGCACTGTGGGAAGATCACTGGGCTGCTAACCCCAAGGTCCGCGATACAAACTAACCAGCCACCAGCGAGAGAAAGGGGAAGCTGTCTGCTCCCCTGAGGGCCGAGAGTCTCAGCAATTCTTCCCAGGGTTACTGTGCATCAAAAGCAGCTCAAAGGCAGGGAACTGTGTTTGGGCTTCTGTAGTGACCACCAGGAGCCCTGATGTAGTGGTCATGCGTTGGGCTGATAACCACAAAGTCAGCATTCAAAACGACCAGCCACTCCACGGGAGGAAGATGAGGCGTCCTGCTTCCACAAAGAAGTCCAGTCTCCGAAATCCCCATGGGCAGTTCTGTGCCGACCTGCAGGTTGCTCTGAGTTAGAATGGACGTGATGGCAGTGCGGTTGGGTTGGGGGTCATCATTTGATGGGTGTCGGTTGTTCGAGAAGTCGCCCCCTTTCCTCCCACGTTCCTGGCTGTTCTTCCTTTGTCCTTGCATGTTGGAAACAACGTTCAGTTCTTCTTTCTCAACCATTCATTCTGCTCCTTGCACGTTTCCCCCAGCGCTGAGTGGAAAGTCTGGCTTCCAGAGCAGAAACCGTGACTGTGAAAAGGACCGCTCGATCTGCCTACGTCAAATTGAACACGTGTGGACAGGCACAGCCCAGAGAACTTGTGGGCCTGGCTTCAGGCCACCACACTAGCCCAGATATTGCACTAAAGCGAGGCTTTGAAATGCTTGATTTTCCCATGCATATGAAAGTTATGCTTACACCAAGGAGTTGCTTATTAAGTGTGAAATAACATTATGGAAAAAATCTGAAGTATTGTGAGAATTGCCAAAATACAGAGACACAGCGAGAGCACACACTGCTGAAGAAATAGCGCCAGTGGACGTGCTTGACATGGGGTTGCCACCAGCCTTGCACATGTAAAAAAGCCACAAAGCACAATAAAGTGAAACACAATAAGACGATGTATGCCTGTTGGTAAAAAGCCAAAAAGGAAATTAAGAAACACAAATTAAAAG